ACCTAGAGTAAAGCATAGTCTTGATTTGTCAATTTTTGCTTTCAAAAATAAATCTCTGATAATAGTCAAAACATGAAGGATCGGTTTAAAAAAATCTCTGTTTGGTGTAACGTTGAGCAATAGGCGATATGCATTATGGCGTCATTTACTACAACTACCAGAATGCTTTGCCAACTTTATTTCGTAATGCAATTAGTGCCAATTGTTTTATTAATCTCCAAGGGGATTAAAAATCTGAATAACAATGAAAATGCGCAAGGCTCTCTGATAGTTGTAGTAAAGTTACGTCATAATGCAAACGGCCTATTGTTGCGTTCCTCAACCAATATAAAATAATTCAAAACACCATTATGTAAATATATTTTAGAAAATTTTAAGAAAACGCTACGTATGCTTTATATATGAAATCCTCCAAATAAAGATTGATTCTGTTAGATCCTTAGCCAGTTTAATAATGTAATTAGTGATGCGCAAGTCGTTTGAAAAAAAATATTCTTTGAAATCGAGTCGTATAACTCTGCTTCCTAGAATTTGTAAGGTGTAACCTACATTTGAACACGTGCGACTTTTAAGAGGACCCGACGGGTTCCTGGGAGAAATATATCTTTTCTTATGTCCCAGCCAGCTGTAAGTCACAACTGATTACCAGCGAGAAATTCAGGAAAAAAGAAATCTCCACTGCAAGGAATATAGCCTGAATTTAAGACGTCTCCTCTGGGTCATGTCGAGAATTTTTTTCTGGAAAAATTTGCTAACAAAAAATGATAAGCCGTTGTTGACCATAAAAACATTATATGAGCCTTTTTTAACCCCTTAAAAACGTTTGCCAGGAAATAATTAAAAATATTTTTTACTGAAGTAAGAAGGAAGGGCGCGCCACATTTGCTTGTGAGATTGTCAACAATGTATCTCAAACCTCCCTTCCCCATGGAAAAAAATTCGTACAAGAACAGTCTATTCAGAAGAACAGACCCCGTCGGTTTCTTCTGACCTTTTTAAAAGTCGTTCATCGCTTTAGACGGTGTGCGCCAGTGGAATAAAAAATGATAATGCATTTTGTGCAAGATATAATATAAAGATCTGTAAGAATCAAAGCTAAGAAATTGAGCAATTATAAGTATGAACTTGAACAGTCAATGACTTGTTCCCGCCGCAACACATGTTGATCGGTTTTCATTCAGAACGTTCTATGGTATGCTGTAGTTTGCAGTTCATCCGTGTTTTACCAAATATCATGAGCGTTTCCGATAACAGAATTTGCTTTCTGACAAATTATAGATTTGCACATTSTGAGCCCCATAGCGAGAATCCATGYTTAAGAACAGTTCCCAGGTGTTAAAGTATTAAACGACAATCCAAGGATTCTCATTTAATGAAACATCCTTTTATTTTGCAATTACGCATTCAGCTCAATCAGAATTGTTTACTGATATATGCTTCAAAAATCCAAAGAATCAAACTTTAAACAGTTTGCACTAATTATAACCATCTTGGCCGCTCAATGATGATCATGAACAAGCGTCTGTGCGAAAGTGTGAAAATATGTTTCCCGAATAGATTAGTTGATGAATTTTTAAATACGAATGAAAAATGCCTAGTTAAGACTAAGTGCATACCTACACCTTTACCTCTAGTGTTATTGCCAAATTCCTTATAAGTCAAAGGCCTTGTTGAAAATATTTCCCTACACCAGGAGAATTTTGAATAACATGACTTTTTTTAGTTAGGCTGAGAGCCGAAAACTTTCAGTTTCTAGATAGAGGTAAGAACTTTCGTTTATGTTACTATTTGCACAGGTTTTCGATGTAGGCGATTTAATTTTGGGGGGACGGAGTTAACAATGAAGTAAGTCATATTTTCATACGATTGTAATCAATACAAGTCACCTAGTGCGAAGCTACGTTCGTATTCGTGTCTAAATAAAGTAGGATGCTGTATTGAATGGCACGTATTCATACCTTTTTATATAATTAAACAATCTTTTTTTACAAATTTTTGCTATAATTCCATCATGGCCTAGTTTTACAAACAGACAGTATCAAAACAATAGTCTCTGAAAAACGCATGAGAAAACTATTTTCTACCATTAGAAAAACTTGTTTTTTGTGAATCTTTGCCAGCTTGAGTTGTAAGTGATCTCGGTAATTGCATCTTACCCCCTATTGTGTGTAGAAGAACTTGACATTCGGCCATGATAGCGAGAAGCGCTAGCGCCTGAGGGTTTTGTAAGTGACTATTTATGTTTCAATGGGTAAAGCATTCAATGAATTGCACGACAATTGCTCTCAGTTTCCTTGTCGAGTTTATTAAGGATATCGTCAATTAATATAACAAAATGGGATGGATGAGCGACTCGTCAAGTCGTCTGGTTTCAGCTTTTATAGCCTTCGCAGTTCTTTGCTGTGTTTGTGTAGTTTTGTGTGCCATAGGATTTGTTCGACTGGAATTGAGGCTCAAAGACCAAGATGTTAAAATATTAATGCTTCGGAAAGAAATTCAGAAGTGGAAGATTCATCAAAGCGATGAAAATGGTAAGTGAATCATCATCTTCACTATGCAAAGAGGAACTATGAAGACATGTGATGCATGTGCCCWTCAACTACACAGTGTCCATTCGCGTGCCAATTATTTATCAGTTTAAAAGATTTATTGAATATAATGACTTTTCCTTTTTCTCACACAGTTTGCCTTTTTAACTTTGTGTGATAAAAGGATTTGGACACACTTAAAAACGTGTTTGTATAAATGTACTTTATTCATGAGCTATATCCGGTAGCTAATCTTTGTGTTCTCATAACGTAACGCTTAATTGCATGTCTACATTACTGCTTTGTTCAAACACGTATATATCAAGCGAGGGAACACGATGTATACAGGTAATCGAAACTGTGAGTCTTAAAACGTTCAAGAAGTGTTTTACTTCAAAACAAAAAAACAAAAAAAAAAAAACAACAACAACAACACACACAGAAAAAAAACAAAACAAAAAAACAATACTTGACTTAATATTAAAACCTCATTATTTTGCCAATATGGCAGGGAGAATACACAATAGGACACTAGCTCCCCTTCCAAGCCAATTTCCTTCCCACTCATACGAGTACATCCGACACCCATAGTCAGCGTGTACTATAGTTGGTTGTTCTGTCAATTAAAGGAAAACTAACGTACCTTTTGAAGACCTTTCATATGACAAGTGAGAGATSTAGAACGACGTCCATCCWCTTTGCCCKAGCCCCGATTTGAACSYGAACCTTGGCSRWWA